GCGAGGTGTTTCATGAGAAACAGAGACTGGAGCTGTGCGCTATCCATGCCTTGAACAACGTGCTTCAAGAGAGAGTTTTTACCAAAGAGACAGCAGATGACATCTGCAAGCGGTGCGTCACACACACACACACACACACACACACACACACATATATATATATATATATATATATACAGGCCATAATTTAATTCCCCCTTTGTATTGTTCTATATTCTCAAATCCAAAGTGGTCTTGTTTCTTTGCAGACTTGCTCCACAGTGTGTGATGAATCCACACCGCTCAGTGTTGGGCACGGGAAACTATGATGTCAATGTCATCATGGCAGCTTTGCAGAGTCGTGGGCTCGGTGCTGTTTGGTGGGACAAACGCCGGTGAGTGTGAGAGCAGCTCAGTGTCACTTTATAAATCATGTGATGGTCATAAAAGGGGAGTTAATTTTTCTCCATATCTCTCGTATGCTGTAGGTCAGTACAGAATTTGTGCCTGGACAAAATTCAGGGCTTCATTTTGAATGTCCCATCAAGGGTGTCACTGGGAATTGTGTCTCTCCCGCTGAGACGCAGACACTGGCTTGCGGTACGGGACGTCAATGGACAGTTTTATAACCTAGACTCGAAATTAAAAGGGCCTGTCTGTATTGGCGGAGGAGCAGAACTCAGGTGAGACTATGGATTACTTATAAATGTTTTTTAAATTACTTTATAAACAGTACAAACTAATTATTGCAAGAAAACATTAGTGCATATAAATTTACACTTTCCAGGTGTATACACAGTAAAATGAATAAATGAGACCCACATATATCCAAATGTCATTGATAATCAGCACAATGTAGCCCAGACACAATTATAATGACGCAGAACAGGTAATTCAATCAGAACAAGAGCAGGACTATAATGGCAGATGGTTGGTAATATCACAGGAAACAACAGACATACAGTCGAGATGGATCACCTGATCTTCTGGACCCCATTTGCATTTGTATGTATTGTGGCGTGATCATATCATAAAAGACAGACAACACACATACCAACACACATCTCCCAATTCAATACCGATACAGTTTGATTTGAGTCATTTACACACTCTGTTTTAGTATGTGAAAGAAATGATATACAGAGAACCTTTTAACCTTCAATAAAACTCACAAAAATTAGTAAGCTTTAAGGTGACCTTGTATTGTTGTTATTCTTAACTAAAGCTGAACTGAAATAGCTCACATAAAATATAAATATTAGATAAAAAAAAAAAAACAATGAAAATTAGTAAAATAAGTTTAAGCAATTAAAGTACTAACTGAAATAAAAATAAAACTGAAATAATCAATTAAATATTCAAATATAAAAAAATGTATATGAATGACAAAAGCACATAAAATTACTAAAAATGAAATAGCAAACTTAAAATCTAAAAATAAAAGCAAAGTAGTTTCGCTTTCACAACGAAACAGCGTCACACGCCTTGAGTGAGCAGAGGTCGGAGGCCTAGAGAACAGCGCGGCTGGCGGATTCGATGAAGGAGGCCTGTGGCAACCACATGTGACGACCCCGGGCTGGACTCCGCTTCGTCCACGGTGAAAGCCGATCCGGCGATCCACAGCGCGAAGTTGATGTATTTCCTCAGCGACCAGCACGGATCAGCTCTAGGCATGACGAAGCGGATATCGTCCTCTTTTGGAAGGCCAAACAAAGTAGTTTCGCTTTCACAACAAAACACACACGACATGGTGGCAGCAACAATACAAACTAGAATAAAAGTTACGCCGCCTTTCTTTGCGTGAACATTTGGGTGGC